TAACCATGACCTGTTATATGGCCGAGGGGAGCCAAATCTTAATAAAATAGCCTGGGTGATGAGATGGATTGGGCTGAATTGTCCAATAAACCCGCGCATATAGACGATTTTAGGAAGATGAATAGATAAGGGGTAACCATAGGGAGTAGGAAAAACAAGAAATGAAGCATAGGTAAATGACGGAATGAAGGATTGGACAGATGAGCGTCATGATAAATGAATAAAGTTATAATCGATGGAAGGAAGTTTACATGCAAGTTGAACACTTGCAATTTAATGCTACACATGGTTCATCTCAATGATGGCGACACTAATCTATAAAGACATACTTAGCTAACGCTTCAAAGCTAATCAGGCATGGAAGTACAATTAAGGATTAAGCAACAAAAGGCAATATATTCAAAATCTTACTTCTAACTAAACCCATCAACATACAGACCATACGTATTGGTCTTATTGTCTTAAGTTGTTGATGAAAATGTATCAGTTATCGAGTTGCGCAACGAGTTATAATTGAGACTGAGTTTTACCTAAAAATTTCATTTGACTATCTCGTTCGAACACAAAAGGCTTCAATTATGTTTAAAGTGATTATTAGAACTAGGCGAAGTCCAAAGTGCAGGCCAATCTGAATGTGTATCCACTTTTAGATAGAGAAAATAGTAAAATTATATAGTAAAATCAAGTTTTTTCTTTAATCTTTTGTATGAAGATCAAATATCAGTTCCTAAAAAACGATTAACCAATGATACTCCAACAATCTTAAAAAGTGATCTCCTGACGAGCTTGATATCACAATTAGGAAGCTAATTTATTTGTGCAAAACGCATTTTCTGAAAATTCGGAGGAAGCAAATTCATTTATCAAAACAAATCTGACTGACAGATTGCTCTTTAACCCTTCAGTACATGTGAAAACTAGTTTCACAACTTGCTAAATCCCGAGCACAAATAAGGCATATCTATCTTTTCAATAAGAAAATAAACGTTTGCAAACAAGAGCCTATAATGTCAATAAGAATAGAATAGTAATAACCCAAACGCAAATAGAGCTATGAATGAAAATATGAACCAGTACTTGAGAGAACACTTAAAATAGCAGCTTGTACTGTATCCTTTATAGTTAAGGCTAGTTGTAAAGCAGACATTACTTTTCAAGATCTTTAATAAGAATAAAATATATAATTCAGATAAAACAAAAATTAAAGAAGTAAGAAAATCTAATATAATTAGAACAGCCTCATTCATACAACTCTTTTTGGGAACAAGGTGGACTGAAAAAGCCAAATTTACCTTGACTTGGTCTTTTGAACAGACAATCACATTTCTAGCGGCCAGGTCACGGTGCACGAGTAGGCGTTCTTCAAGGTAGGCCATTCCACGAGCGATCTGTAGAGAGAATCGATGCAGCGTAGGCAACGGAAAGTGACGTCTTAATTGAGGATCACGAATGCATTCGAGAATCGAGCGAAGTGGAGCTAGTTCTGTAATCTAGAGGCAGTAAGAAAATAAAAATTAAGTCTAGGACAGTTCTAAACAAATGCGAAACATCATGTTATATACAAAACAATCATTTTAGCATACTACTTCGTTTATCTGGATTCAGGTATAGTCAATTAGTCAGAGACTGCAGTACATAATCCACATTACTTAGGTTCCCCATAAATGCTTCTAGATGATTCTAATTAGTATTAAGTGCGATTATAACTTTCGTGGTTCTTTTGTATACAATAAGTCATTCAATTTTCACAAAACTTTATTCTGTATTCAATCCCAAATGCAGAGAATATAATAAAAAATGGAGGCAGCAAATCTGGATAAGAGGATCGTGGCGATTAGAACTACAATTAACAGCACCAAGAAAAGTCCAGCTTTCGGCCGAAAGTCAATGTTTTCTAGCCTGACAATCAAAATCTGAGCTTTTCCTTTTAGCAACTCTTGCAGGCTTGTTAATAAAAGGGATGGCTTGGGGGATTAAACGTTAATGAACCTAGACTGAAAGGTTATGACAAGTAGCTTCGTAACTTGATTTTCACGCTTACAAGCTCATATCTCATTATCTCAACCATACTTGTTTAGTGACTTACGCAGTCTCGGTCAAGGCTTTCTCTTAGGTCATTAGGCCTTAAAGATCAGAACCTGAGATCAATCTTTTCACAACTCTGATTTAGGAACCGTATTGCATATAGACGCTAACACGTACACATACACATACGCATAAACTTGATCAAAAGTAACAGGACCCGTATGAAAGATAATTAACCAAATCATTCTATATCGATCTATCTAGGTTTTTTAATTTCTTTTGGCTCAATTGAGTTTACATGAGTAGTAAGATAGAGCCGGATAGTGTTATTGGCCTAGTGTTAACGTGAGACTTACAAGAATTACACCCAGCTCTGATGATATCCATCCTATGATAGACGAAAACTCATAAGAAGTGGGTTGACCTCGTTGTCGCAACTTGGTCTTGTGTTCAGGGAGACTATGTAGAACGCACCGA